TCTTATTGTACTACGATGATATTAGTGAGAAAACAGACATGAATGCGGGAGTTTTGTTCACCAGCAATTGTACTAGATATTTTTGTAAAATTACATAATCCTCCTCTTAACAGATAAGTGATAAGACAGAAAAAAATCCTACAATTAAGAATGAATTAGACAGAAATCAACATTATGGAATTTTTTTTAAATTGAGTTCCCCCAAGCAAGGCAGTAAAGCCATTGAGACGCAAAGGGTTACTGGGTGTGAACGAGTTATAAACAGGAACATTGCTAAGGGACGAGAACAGAAGAAGAGTGGTCAGGAGGACAGCAGATAGTGATTGACATTGCGTTTACATTTTTGAAGATTAAAATTGACTGGAAAGCATGGAGACAGAAAGAAGTTCCACAAACAAGGAGTGCGAGAAAAGAAGCTGTTAGCATAGGATTTATGGTTACATCTAGCCAGCTAAACTGTAATTGTCACCAGTCTAGTACTGCGCTTAAATTTGAAGAGTCTAGGAACCATAGATAAGATCTAATCCGAATAATGAAAGTATTCATAGAATAGGCAAAGGGAGGCAGCCTTACTTATCACGGAACTCTAGATAGATAGCAGGAGCACCGGATCATATGTGGCAACAACATTCTAAGCATAGACAAATGATAGACTTATAAATATGCAAGAGAGACACCGGAGGAAGAAACTGTCTCCGCACGACACAGTGAACCATCTTTCCTGTCAGCTGACCTAGCAATGGACTCATTATAGTTTATTCACTTCAGGTTAGCCCTAGAAGGGGCAGCAAGTCACTCTCCTGAATGTCAGTATCAGCCATGCTGATGGAAGGCAGAGAGAGTTCTCTCAAATGGTTAATAGGGAACAGTTTATAATATATAGTAGAGTTTCAACAAAATATAGTTATCACAGTGCTAAATTCAGTGACTGCTATAAAACATTAATTATTACAATGAAAATAATAATAATAACCATTTTGTATCAGCTTGCGCGGTATTGGCACCCACTGAATTTAAAACCCAGCATAACAGAGTGGGCAAATATCTGCATTGGAAAATCTGCAACTTTTACGGAAAAGTAAACTGCAAGAAATTGGTATGAACACCATCCAGACCCGGTTACAGACATAGGAACTGTAACAATTTTATGGGGCTTTATAATACAGAAAGACTAAACAATGAAAGCTTTTTGCCATCTCTCTTACGCCCAGACATAGTGATCAGAGACTTCAACAGCAAAATGTGCCTTCTTATTGACATAGAAGTACCTGCAGACTGCAATGTCTATTTGAAGATCTTCAAAAAACTATTAAATTACAAGTACCTTGAAATCGAAATCACAAAAACAAAGCACACGAGAACATCAACAATCCCAGTTGTAGTTGGAGCCCTCGGTTTGATTGTAAAAGGTTCCGATAGGATCATTGAAGAGATTCTTGGTGGCCCAAGCTTTAAAGAAACAAAAAATTGTACTCACAATTACATCCCAAATCTTAAGAAGGGCTTTATCGCTGCAAAATGCGTGTAATCATACATTTTTTGTTTTGTTTCTTCACAAAAGTCTAAGTTGAATATGTAATGAGACCACGAAGAAATGAGTATGCAACAGAAATCAATGGAAATAATAATGTGTAAATAATATGAACAACATGTCGATTTTCCCAAGAAAGTGGGTAAAAGGACTTATAAAACTTACATAACTTGCATTTTAACTTGCTTCATTCAATCGTGTGTCTATATATATATTATTTAAAGTGGCATTCGTTTGTTCTTGGTATCTGGGAAGAACTTGAATTCCTTTAACAGAAGCCGAAAGAAAAGTAGGGAGATCGTTAAGAAAATTGGCCCTTCAACCCACAGCCCCTACCCTACCTACCTATCCAAAGTGAGATATAGTCGTATGCTTTCGGCCATGGAAATCAGAAAACAATTCACTTCAATGTCGTCGTAATTGTACCAAAGCACCATTGAAATTAAGTCAGCCTGCTATGTCCGTAAACTATCCAATTTAAATATTGGAAAGGAGCAATTGAAGCGTCTCCTGTAAGATTCTAAAACAGCTAATGTTACCATTGCCATCTATGGAACTGATATTCTACTCTGAAGAGTTTTATTAATGTAAAGAAAATATAAACACTATCCATGTATAACTTCGCATCAGATTTTTTGCAAGCGGAATGTATATATTTTTACTAGCTTGCCTTAACCCACGCCTCGACTAACGAGCCTTATGGGAATAAACTAAATAGATTGAACTAAACAGAAAACAAACGAAGAAGAAGAAGAAGAAGAAGAAGAAGAAGAAGAAGAAGAAGAAGAAGAAGGAGGAGGAGAAGAAGGGGGAGGAGGAGAAGGAGGAGGAGGAGAAGGAGGAGAAGGAGATGATAATAATAATAATAATAATTATAATAATAATAATAATAATTTTTAATCGTTTCATCCCAAGCAAGGCGATAATGCCACTAGACCATAGAGGATTACAGGGAGTGAGAAGTCTTTAGTAGGGATGACTGCGAAAAGGACAACAAAACAAAAAACAGATAGGGTTGAAGAAGACGTTGCATTTTAATATTTGGAAGATTGTAGTTATCAAGGAAGAAAAAAAAATAGCCAGTGACTTCCACAGGTGAGACGCGCGAGAAAAGAAACTGTTAGAGTAGAAGTGGCAGTTGCATCTCGCGATTTCAACAGTAAAACGGTGAGACTTAGCTGCCAAACCAGTAGCACGCTTAAATTCATTTTGTCGGGGCATCAGGGAAAAAGATTATAATAATAATGATAATAGTAATTTCAAAACGCCAACCTGATATGAAGCAAAATTTTTCAAGCTTTATCTTAAGCGTAAGAATTGCAGTTGAAATGATGGGAGTAAATGAAATATTCTTATGTACGAAAGTTTGGCGCCAACAGTGGAACTCCAGGCTGGAAAAACAGTCAGCTGCGGTGATTAATCTTCGTCCTCTTTTATCTCTTTAATTTCATGCAATATTGTTATCGGGCCCGTCCCATCCGTTTCTATTGCCACCCGAACCGCCCCCCCCCCTAGAAAACTAAATTCGAACTCAAAATAGATAACACTTTCCGCCTTCAACGACAGAAAATTTAAATGCGAAATACTTTATCAATTCGCAAGTTATTATCTCACCGAGTTTTATGCCTCCAAACTTATCACCCGGTTAATCCAAAACATTGACTGGGAACAAATCTCCTCCATACGGATAGAACATGAATTGAGCAATTACATAAAAAAAAAAAAAAAAAAAAACAGAAAAAGACATAAAAGTGTATCAGACAGGTTACTAACGCCTACTCACCGGATTCATTTAGCGTAAAGAACAAGGTGATCTTAAAAGAACTGCAAATTCGACCAGTATCTATTATTGGTGAGCACAATTTTAACAAGCTACGATACGTTGATGACACCGAAGTGATGGTATACACCGAAATAAAACTTCAGTTACTTCTAGATAAGTTAGTAAATCGAGAAAAAAGGATTTAACATTTAGTTGTAAAAAAACAGAATGTACAGGATGGGACCAAAAATAGGCGTACAGTTATTTCACTATTTGTTTCAAATTTTAGATCTAACTTGGCCGATCTGTTATTTTAGCAAGATAGAGCAGTAAGAGACTACCTTAACCAAACCTTTCCACAGCGTTTGTTCGCACGAAGAGGCAGCATGAATAGCCACCTCGTTCACCTGACCTAACGCAAATGAATTTCTTTTTTGTGGGGGGTGTTGTAGTAGTAAAGAACAAGTTTTATGAAAGAAATCCCCACGCAGTAGATGAATTAAAAGAGTTCATCTCAGAAGTATTTATTGAAATTGATGCAGATCGAGATTTGTGTCGTGCTGTGTGTCAGTTTTCTGTGAATGTTCGAGTAATGTTAAAGAACATTTTGAGTACTCAAGAGATTAAACTGTGTTAAACAAATGTACATAAACAGTTTTGAACAAATATAATTGTAAAAAATAATTATAAATGTAATAAAATTAGAAAAAAATGTAAAGCGGATACCTAGTAAGTGTAAGCTTACTTTTCGCCCACTCTGTTACTAGTAAGAGGAAAAGCCCAAGATGCAAGCTATAAATTGGAAACGTCAAAGTAACGTGAATACAGAAATTTAACTTAGAAGTGTTTTAACAGAAGATGGAAAATGTGTCGCAGAAGCCCGAAAGTGCATTGGAATAACGAAATATGCCTTTCAAAAAACTAAAACAAATATTAAGAAACAGAAAAATTTCGTTGGAAACAAACATAAGTGCGTAACTATTGCGTAATATTAATCTTCCTATACGGTTATGGATGCCGGACAATTGATTTTCAGCTGAAGAAGAGACGTGAGGTAAAAGTGTTGTGGTTCTACAGAAGAATATTGTGAATACCATGGACGGAACATATGAGCAATGATGAAGTTTCAAGAAAAATGTGATCGGAAAGGACGTTTGGGCTTAGGATCAGAAAGAGAATTTCTGGAACACCTACTAAGGAGAGAGGGTTTGGAGAATTTGACACTCACAGGACATACTGAAAGCAAAGGGACAGATAGTTTCTCCAATCGCCCGGTTCACAGCCATCCTCGAACTGTTAAACGGGAGTAAAGGTTTATCACTTGTTTCATTTTATATACTGGGTTTCCGGTTCATTCTAAAGTCTACTTCAGTTCTATACGTCTAACGCTTCTCCTTTTCTACGCCAATATAGCTCCACACAGTAAACTTCTACTTTGAGTGGCTCTTGGGCTTTGTATTAAGTGAAAATTAGTAAAAAAGAAAAAGAAAAGAAAACCAAAGAGGAAGCGAGAAATTTACCTAACGAACTGTAGCAAATGGACAGAGAGGGATAGTAATGGGCAAACATTGTTTATAGTTACATAGAATAGGAATTTGTGGGAAGCTATGGTTTGACAAAGCACAAGAAAAAAGAGGTTTGATCACTTATCCGTGTAATCGGCATGGACAACTCGCAATAATCAAAATTCATTAAGGTTTGGTAAAATTATAAGTGGGGCCAGACAGCGTAGAGAGAGAGAGAGAGAGAGAGAGAGAGAGAGAGAGAGAGAGAGAGAGAGAGAGAGAAGAGAGAGAAGGAGAGAGAGAGGGGGGACTTCACAAACGCTTGTTCACTTCACTTTTAATTACTTTTCTCTCGGATTTATCCTACAAAAACTTCATACCCATAAACACATTCTCTAGTTTAAACGTTTTCTTTTGTTGTCTGCGTACCGGGTGTAGCAGCAAAATTATCCAAATCGTCCGATAATTGTCCTTCCCAAAAAATGCTTAGCATCTAAAAAAACCACTAAACTAATTGAGTTCATTTTTTCCAGGTTTTCAGATAAGACGTTTACCCATTTTGACACCATTTGTTGTAAAAATCACTGAAAAAACCTTTTGAGTTTATTCCGCTAGAAAGGGAACAGATGAAAATCGTTTTGTGTCAGACCCGCTATGTTTTTCCAACTGAGCAATGGTGAGAGGAAAAAGATCAATCAGGCCTTCAGTAATGCTCCCAACATACATAGTCTGGCTTTCATCTTCAAAGCCCATTCAAGAACCATCCAAAAGAGGGAACAGTAGAGAGGAAAACTGAATCAGGACGTCACAACAGCAAGAGGGGGGGGTCATCATTTCAACTTAGAGCTAAATACATTCTTATTGTTCAAAGTAAAATCCAATTGTGTTATAAAAACGTCGAAGAATTTCTGCAAGATACCTTTAATCATTTCTAAGATTCCAAAGCTTAATCTAACAATTCGACAATTTTGCCGTTACAACCGGTACATTTTTGTTAAAACATACATTGTCGTTTGATTTATATACTGATTTTTGTTACTCATTTATTACTCGGACTCACATTCTTGTCTGCAATTATTGTTACGGGAAAAATATACCAGGAAACACGTGTTTTCTAGGTAAACACAACTAGCATTCCCACAACAAAACTCCTTACTACAAATTCATGATGAGAAGGAAACTGATTTTATAATATAATATGTTTTTGTTGATAGATTTCAGTAAACTTGTTTCATGATTAGTTGTCAGTAACCTTACGCCGAAGATCACATTAGGGAGGGAGCAGATATCAAAAATTAAAAATAAAGTATTTTTTAAAATGTTTGTAAGTAATTTGAGTCATAAAATATTCAAACAATAACGATATATTTGATGAAATATTTTTGGATATATTCGGAAATACTAATGGCAATAGCCGTTTCCTTATAAAGAAATATTCGGTTGGGTCCACCGTTATCTATCCCACATATTCTCATAATCTTCATTTTTTTTTACTTTTACACCCTCAATATCATTTAGTAACTATCTAGCTCGGGTGGCTCTTGGGCCTTGTATTCGGCGAAGAATAAAAAGGCATTGTGTAAATTCATTATTAGACATAGAGTATAGACCGAATTCAGTACTCTAATGAAATCGCTTGAAAGCTAAAGCTCTGCAATAGGTACCGCATTACACCTAGAATATGTTAAAATACATTCTCTGTATCCTTCCCAAGAGCCAAATCTCAGTTGTCTCAAATCTTCACTTCAACTGTGAGGAAATTGTGCAGTATTTTCTGCCATGCAGGACAATTGATATTATATAGCAGTTAAGTACTGTTTTCTTTGTTTCTAACAAAATTTTCATTTTAATACATTGCTTAGAAATATAATCGTTTAATATTATCTCTGTGTCAGAGATTCTTGTGATATGCCATCTTCAACAAAAAGAATTATTTTGGGGATTTTTTTGAAAAGTAAATGTAAACGAATCCACGTCATTTCCTTTTCTAAGTTATAAGATATGCGAGATCTTGATTCTACAAGTATAGAATCAGGAGAGATGAAAGATAGTTTCACGTGTAAAATATGACTTCTCTTTTTTAATGGATTATTATTGGAACTTAAACTGGAGTCGAGAAGCCTGTCTGAATTTGATGGATGTTGAAAAGTGCAAAATCTTTGTCAAGTTATTTCTCTTCAAACTTTAACACAGACGCCAACCGGTTGTTATCGGGTGCCGATACTGTACATTCCATACGAATATGGCGCCCCTCAAATATTCGCCTACTTTTTTGTCCTATCATCGCTGTTATTTGCACACGCTAGAATTTATACAGTTTCATTCCAGCTATTTTGAAATTAGCACAAAACGTCCAAAAATAGTCGGAAAAGAACGCAGAATGTTGAATCACACACACGCGCACAAACACACACATATGCACAAACACATACACACATGCACACACACGCAAACAAACAACAGATAAGAAAAATGTCGAACTTTTGGAGGATTATGGGAAAATTTCATTGAATACCAAATATTTGTACTAACTTATCACTTGATTATTTATGTTTTTTTTATTAGTATTAATAAGTATTTCCTCACATTAATAAACACCTAAATCTAAAAGTGTGGAGAAAATTAGATATATTTTTTGTATTTTGGGAATTTTTTTAATCGAATTCCCCCTTCCCATATAAGGCAGTAAAGCCACTAAGACACAAGGGGTTACTGGGTATGAGAGAATTAGAAAACAGAAGCATTATTGAAGAACTAAAAGGAGAAGTGCGAGAAAAGAAAACTGTTAGCATAAAACTTACAGTTACATTTAGCCAATTCTACTATAAATCGATGGGACCGTGTTGTTAATCTCGTACTGCACTTAAATTCCTAAAGTCTACGTACGATAGCAAAAAGCTCATCCGTACAATTACTACGAAATTATTTATAGAAACTCACGGGAAGCAACTTATGCATAAGAAATTAAGGGTGTCTTTCGTTAATGAGTATACATTGTTTGAACAGTCATCAGAAAAAGAATAAGTTATGTCAGTGTAAAGGTGTTTACCTTTTTTATAAATTAAAAACAATTCTGAATTTTACAGAAGCCATAACGCAATGTTTATCAAACTATTCATACAGTCCATTGTTACTTCATGGCAAAATTATCGTATATATTTTATAACTACACATTGTAATAAACCCGTTTAAATATATTAGATTTGACAGACTATGTTTATTGTGGGTTTTACAATACAAACATTGGATTAAGATGGTGCAGTTCTATGCTTTGAATGAAATAGAATTTTTCCACGAATAATGTATAATTGTCGAATCATTTCTGATTTTTATAATATATATTTAGGAAATCTGAAGCTTTTAATTCCGAGAGTTTCTTCCATTCGATTCCGAAAATTTTACTTTTTCTAGAGTTATTCTCGTACATTGCTAATGAGGACACAAACCATAAACTTTTATATGTAACATTTTAATCAACTCCTGTCTCTCCCAATTACTTTCGGTCTGTAGGTGTGTGGCTCCGCACTGTTTGCTAACTTGGACCCTACATTATCTATTTTAGCGATCTTTTCTCATCGGGGGCGGGTGTTTATAAATCTATCTTTCCCACACATACACACTCTAGGCGCAGCTGGGTCGATCACGTTTTTACATGGATCAATCACTGACATCGAGTGACAAGTGGATTTGCAGATTAATCCGCTGATGCACCTAGCTTCTTTGATGGTCTGGTGCCTAAAATCTGTTGTGGAATCATTTGGAGTAAGTTCCGTATTATATTTTGAAGTCAGAATAAAAGAATAAAATTTCAGCACTTTCACTCAATACAGTATTTAAGTACTTTTGTGATGGGATTTCCTTGATGTAAGCAATTGAAATTGCCATTAACTTGCATCTGAATGCTGCAAAACGGAAACTAAATATTTACCATAATGAAACATCAATAAATTACGTAAGTAAATCTGAGGCATTAAAATGAACTGTGGTATTATTTCAGGCTGTAAGTGAATGAAAAATAAACATCCTCTCCCAAGTGTTCCAAGAAATAAGATTCAAGATAAACATTTGCAAAACAAAAAACTATGATCTCGAATTAGAATGAAAGCAGTGATGGCACCTACTCTGAATCCATTATGAAAAAATCAATATGTAGAATTAATAAACACTAAACACTTCACATACCTTGGTGTTATAGAAAACTGACTACAGGAAATACAATAGGCACTTCAGAGGTAGTTATGGCCAACACTACAAGATACTGCAAAACCCTAACATTAACCTAAAAACTCGAATCATATATTTAAATAACCACGGCAGATCATGATTTTCATAAAGATGCCATGCGTGGCGTTCTACCAGGTCAGAAATGCCTACACTGTCAACTGCATACAATCGCTTCTTCAAATCAATGACTAAAAATAGGTTCCTGTGAATGTGGGTTTTAGAAAGGACCATCATTCTTTGAACCTCTTGGACTGGCGATACAGGTACAATAATACTCACACATACTCACAGTAAAAAGAACCTTCAGATATTGGAGGCCATGTACATTAAAACGAAGCAAGCCACACTCAACAAAATTACATTTCAACTAGTCACAACACATTACATTGCATCTAGACATTGGTTCTGTTGTAATACATCGGCCTATTCCGTGGTATGACGTCATAGAACCGCATCTTGACCTTACTATCAGCGTCTGCTATTCCACGACCGTTAACGTTGCATAGCAATCTTCTATTTCAAAATAACAAAATATCATCTTTGACGGTGGATATCTTTGTTTCATGTCTGTACAAACATTCTGAGGATGGCCCATGCCACCCGAAAGCTTAGGACCAATTTAATAAAAAATATCTAAATGTTAGACAATTTTTGTCATTTATTTTCACCAGAAATTAAAGCAAACATTCAAACATTAGAACGGCTCAGGATCAGACATAATAGACATTCATTGTCTGTTAGATTTAATAAGATATGTTTAAATTATGATCTGCTGCCCCTAATACATATATATATATATATATATATATATATATATATATATATATATATATATATATATATATATATAGACTCGTTTCGAAAAACCCTCGAATTTTTCATTTGCTAATCAAATCAATCTCGAGGGAAAAAGGTTTTAAAAAAGAAAGAGCTACAAACATGGACTTCTGCCGAAAAAAATCGCACAGATGCAGGTCTGAAGCCCAAAGAAAAAACCCCGATACGAGTAACAACTAACTAACAAAAGAGCTCAATACAACCGTAGAGCAGACCTAGATACCTATATATATATAGGTATCTCTCTCT